CTTTGTCTTCCCAGGACAGAGGCGGTCCCAAGCAGTAAACAATTTACACAACTTCTCCTTCTCCCACTGGGGACGGGTTGCCAAGAGCTCAGTGCCAGGTGTCAACTCCTCTCTCCGGCTTATCAGTCAGGGCTCGGAATAAAAGACTCTTCGTTCCTCCTAAACATGCACCTGAGGGGGAGTCAGCGCAGGGGGAGTCAGCGCCGGGACGAATTCCTTCATGCTTTCAGGCTTTGTCCCATCATGTCCGGAGCTGCACTACAGTGGATTTATGTCAAAGGCTAGTCGACAGTGCCATTCTGGCCTGCCACTGAGCAAGTCAGGGCTGGTGGTGATGCCTGCATGATCTCCGCCCAGCTAGAAGTCATGTGCAGCCCTTCACGGGCCCCCAACCATCTGATGAGACACTGTCTGCTGCTTACAGCTTTCACTCCGAGGCGGGAGGAGGAGAAAGAACTTCTGGAAAGTTCAACGGATAAGGGAGAAGACATGGCTGGCCTCGCCAAATCCAGAGGTATTGTTTCCGCCTCTACTGCACTTTGCCCCCCAAATACCAAATGCCAGGTAAAATGCTCAAAAGTTATCTCATGGTCTCCAGAAAGGCAGAAATGGATTACCCAAAAGCCAATGGGTCTACATGCGTGAGGAGGAGCAACCGATCTCCTGAATACTTCCACCTTTCTCTGTCATGTTTTTTGGTTTTTGCAGCAAAGGGGTGAGCACGGGATGGGTAACAGCAGCACTTTCTTCCAATCTTGCAGCAGCTGCTACTGGTCCAGAGCACAGTAAACATACAATGAGCAAGTCAGCGTGCTGCGCAAGCAGCATTAATCTAGGAATTGAGAAGACCTGAGCTGAGACCCCAGGGTGCCTTTTCCAAGTCCTTAAGCAAATCACTGATCCTGGCTGAACCTGAATTTCCTCAGCTGTAAGTGGGGTGAAGGGTAGAGGTGGGGGGGTAAAGAGGCCACCTCAAAGAACTTCAAGCACTCAAACTCTACGATCCTTTTGCAAGTCCAGCAACCTAATCAGTCTTAGGACAGCCTTGATGACAGCATTAAACAAAGGTGGAAACTTCAGCAGGAAATTTGAACATCAGCCACAGGCCAGTTCTGTTGGTCCCCAAACGGCATTTGGTGTATTTATTAAGACTTCTGATTGAGTCTAATAAAAGCTACTAAAGATGCCTTCTAACCCTCAAAAGAATCCAGGTTTGGAAGAAAGGAAACTGACATTTGTCTCTGGCCACTTATGTGCCAGTTTGGTGTTTTCATCTGCTGACTCAGCTGATGCTTCAGAACCATAGCAATGGGTTTTGAATTAAGGCTTCCAAGAAGATATCTCCAAGTCCTAAGCCGGAACTTATGAATGTGATCTAACTTGGAAAAACAGGGCCTTTGCAAATGTAGTTAAGGATATCAAGATTAGATTATCCTGGATTTAGGGTGGGCCCCAAATCCAAAAAGACAGAGGGAGATTTGAGACCAACAGAGAAAACATGGCACACATAGGCAAGGGCAAACACTGGGGTGTGTGTCCACACCAAGGAACGAACGCCAAGGCTTGCTGACGGCCACAGGAAGCCTGGAGAGAGGCATAAAACCTGCCAACACCTTGATTTTGGACATTTAGGACCCAGAACTGTGAGAGAATAAATTTCTGCTGTTTTAAGCCACCCAGTTTGCGTAATTTGTTATAGCAGCCCTAGGAAACTAATACAACCACCACAGGAGTGAGGTAAGTGTCACCATCCCAGCTTTACTGATGATAAAACAGAGGCTCTGAAAAGCTAAATAACTTGTCCCGAATCACTTGGTGCCCCAGGTGTACCTGCTGACAGACCCACTACTCTAGTCTTTCTAGAACACGGGGCTGCTTTTTCCCCTAACACTCAGGAGTCTCAGCTCCTTCCTGTTCTGACACAAGGAAAGTGAAAAGCGTTAAATGACTTATCCTAGGTTGTGGCTTCCTGGTGACAGGGCCCCATGCAGAATCCAGGGCTTCAGCACTACTCACAGATAAACTACGGCAAAGACTTATCACCTCCTGGAGTCAGCTATTTTAGGGGAGCCCATTTTATTATTGCCACAATTACTAAAATACGGAGCTTCACACTAATTTTCTCTTGCAGTAAATAGCTGAAAAGTAATGGTGTCAACTTTAATGAGGATCAAGCAAGGCTCCTAAAAGGGCTCCCATAAACGAAAGCATTTCCCTCACACACAATGGCTTGCTGTTTAATTCCAGAATCCAAGAATGTCACTTAAATTACACGGCTTTTACATTAAAGTGCTTATGGGAATGCCTTTCCAGGGAAGAATTTCAATAAAAAGATCTCACCCATTTTGATGCTTCATCATATCTGAACCACGAATCTATGTATCATAGCAACAATTACAAAACCTCAGAGAATGTGGACGAGAACAGGACCTCATTTTCAGTGGGAAAGAGTTTCTGATTTTCTGTGAAACAGAGAGGTAGCTGAGAAGCTGTTATCACGCAGCAATATATTAAATGTGGTCCTGTGGGCCACCAGGAATGCGTTGCTTAACCCTGAATCCTGTTTGTTCCCACTTGCTGTGACGTCCAGAATGACTGCCAGCCCTACGAGTCTGCATGAGACTCTCCAGCTGACTCGATTCTTATTTTATTAGAGTTTCTCAAAGCAATTACTAGGGTTTTGAGCAAAGATGAGAGAATTTCACACCTCCATCTTTACTGAAAATGTCTTATACTCCACTGACTTTTGGCTTCTATTTATAAAGAAGGTTCAAGGCTTGGAAAATTATTGGAGTTGAGCTTTAATGGATATCCCCAACCAGCATTGTGTCATTATTGGCCCGTGTTGAGCTGGGCAATCTCCCAAATTTGTGACATAATCAGGCCTCTCTCTGCATTACTCCATACACTCCACGCTCCCTCTACATTACACACTGAATCATACACTCTTTTCGACAAGACTGATTGCCAGGGGATTAACATTAGACAGCACAATTCCATTATTCAGCAGCCCAATTCAAATCCCAACCCTAAACTCTAAGAGAGATTTCAGGGCTTCACAGGGATCAGCTGCCAGAAAGCTCAAAGGGGAGGTTGTGTGAGGGGCTTTTGAATGTTTTACATAACAACTCAGCCTAAAACCTGCTGTAAGCAAGAGCCCAGGGCTGGCTGGAGTGGCCGAGATGTGACTCTGCAAGTCCTGGAAAGGTCCCAACCAATCTTAATGAACGATTTGTAGCCCTATGCAAAGCCATGATCCCAGAAGACTGCTGTAGCACGATTTTTTTTCCCACAATAAATTACTTAATTTCAAAATTAGGTATTTAGAACTTTTAGCCCAATTTCTCACTTTCTTTCCTTAAAATAGAAACACTTCCATGTCAAATTCAGTATATGTGAGGCCCAAAGTAAATTCCAAGTCATGTGCTCTTGATCAATGGAGTTATATTGCATCAGTGCCAAAATAAATGTTAACCATTTTGTTCACATGTTTGAATGTTACTTCTCTTTGTGTTTGTTTTGTAAAATACCCGTACATAGTAAATCTTAGTAAGAAACATACCACAAATATTTCCATGAAGAGAGCTCTAAAACTCACTCTTTTATGAATACCCAGAAGATCAATATTATATAAAGACCTATCAAATTTCACATTGAGCCTTCTGAACAAAATTAAAATGTTCAAATAAATACTTTTTTCACTGCATGCTTACATGCAAATGGAAGTAAAGACTATATATCCTGCTTTCTAAGGCAGAGTGTCTTGTGGATTTAATTTCATTTAACTTGACAGAAAATCAAAATGGTTTTCTGTTTAATTTTCAGTTAACTTTAAATGTCAATTACACAAATCCATACAATTTGGTTAATCAAGCTTTTGGAAAGTTTTTTAATGGCTCTTTGGGCAGTTCAAATATCTTCAGGTCTTTCTCTTCAAAGAGTTTATATGTTATTGAAGGAGAAAAAATACCCACATGTGAGATAATACTAGGGGCACGTGCGTAGGAAATGATGTAGGAGAGACTTTATTTATAGGGGCACAGTGGGTGGGCATGTGTTTGTGGAGTTACACAACAGTCACATTAAGGCAAAATAAATCAGGGTGAGCTTTGAGTTGAGACTTCAGCAGAAGTCAGCAACCTGCATGTTCAGAGGACAAACCAATTAGGTAACCCAAAGAAAGGGCTCAAGGATAGGTGGGAGGTTGAGAGTCATGGTATATGACAAGACAGAAAAGATGGTTCTTACACTGGAGAGCTCTTCACCTACCATTCCTGCAACAAAGACACACATCTCAGGTGTGGTTCCACATGATAGCAGTCCTCCAACAAGACAGAGAAACACCATTCCTTTATAAGCTTCTACAAAAACCCATCCTAATAGGCAAAACTTGGAAAGAAATTTGAGTTTCTAAGACAACAGGCTACATCTTAAGATGTTAAATTAAAATGGCCTACTTATCTGTGCGCTCTGACAAAAGGGTATTTACAAGCTCATTTACATGGTTCCCTTTTCACACAGGAAAGAGTGATTAAGAACAAACTTGGAACTAGTGTCTAATGACTTTCTTCTGATAGAAGTGAAGGGCCCGTTGACATTAACCTTTTTCCAGCCAGCTGTGAGTTCAAGTCACCCTAAGATCTCCTCTTTCACTCCTCGGCCAGCATTACACAGTTGCCCTTCTGTAGGTAATGTTGCCTCTCTTTTAAAAACAAAGCACATCTGTACCCTTTTCCCTGCATATGCTAACAGTTTTCAGAGTAACCTCAGCTTCCAGAATGTCAGACACTTCATACCACACCCGCCTTACACAAGTTAGGAACCAAGGGCATCAAGCAAAATCCAAAAAACCTGGCTAATTAGGAAACAGAACATGTTCAAATGACAGAAGAATGCTTCTTGAACTTTGGGGGAGAAAGAAGACTGACTTTCACGATTTCAAACGGGTCGAGCTAGAAGAGGCTGGTGTCCGGTGGCCACACAAGGAGAGGCAAACTCACCCACAACGTCAAGGTGGTATGTGTGGTTGATGGACCCGTGTTCGTTCTCCACCACGCACGTATAATTCCCTTTGTCAGATGGGACGACGCTTTCCATAATAAGGCTCCAGTGCTGGTTTCGGACCTAAAAAGATTAAAGTAAAGGTGGTGATTTAACAGTTTTAGCATAGAATACCAGGCACTTTGCTTTCTTGATTTAAAAAGCATGTGGGGGGTGGGCCGTCCCCGTGGCTCACTCGGGAGAGTGCAGTGCTGGTAGCACCGAGGCGGCAGGTTCGGATCCTATATAGGGATGGCTGGTGCGCTCACTGGCTGAGCGTGGTGCGGACGACACCGGGCCGGGGGTTGCGATCCCCTTACCAGTCAAAAAATAAAAATAAAAAGCATGTGGGGAAGGCAGGGAAGGTAGAGAAGACAAGAATCACCTGAATTCTAAATCTTTCTTAAATACGTACTCAGATTGGTGACAAATAAAAACAATGATCGTCTTCATAGTGAAGGCCTGAGAAGCAGAAAGTAACACATGCAAGTACACGGGGGTATAGAGGAGTGTACAGAGTGGGCCTGTCACGGACTGGAGGGTTCCTCCAGGAGAGGCCAAGTGGCCACGGAGCCTGAACCCCAGCCTGAACAGTATCAACGCTCCTGGCAGGAGAGCTACCAAGTCACTCATCCACGGGGAACCTTCAGCCCCCACAGCACCAAAGAACCATCTAGAACCAACATTACTGAGCACTTACTATGTGCCAGGCACCGCTCTTAGCTAACTTAATTCTCCTTCCTGACTTAGCTAATTTAATTCTCCCAAGGAACTCATGAGGTCGGTGCTGTTTTTGTTCATGGAGTATTATTATTATTATTATCATCATCATCATCATCATCATCATCATCATCATAGTATCTTCTGGTTTGAAAGCCCCTCATTTCTTTCCCCATGGCTCTCAGATGTTGTCCGGAAGTCTCAAGAAATTTCAGCTGGGAACATAGGTCTGCCCCGCCCATCTCTGGTGGTGGGCGAATAGACATTTCATGGTCCTGAGAGATACACCTAGAATTCCAAATATGGGAGCAATGAATCCTTATGAAACTGAAGTTGTATATCCATCTGTTCACAAGCTCCTTGAGACTTTTCAAAGATAAGTAGCACATGTGAAAATAAGTAACTATGATTCCTACCCACAGTTCTGTTAATATACAAACAGACTAGATTCGGGTGTTCTCACCTTGCTTTTAAAATATTTCAATACACTTAAATTTTCAAACAAGCATGAATTCTCCTTACTAGGAGAAAATGCAAATTCCAGTATCTCTAGGGTTCTGCTTGAATCCAAATCAATCTTTACAGGTATTTTGGACAAGGCACTCCAGAGAAATTGAAAGAAAACTTAAATATCATTTCAAGAATTTCAACTGACCTTTTGAATGATGCCCTGAGCACTGCAAGTGTTTTTGACCTTAATCACATAAAATCTAATAATACAGCCTTTGCAAGCACATGAGCGATTCAAGGAACTAAACTAGAGAATAAAGAAAATCATCTCGTAACTACTGCATTATAAAAAAGGGAGGACAGAGCAGCTGTCCACTTTGCAAAGCAGTCCAGTGGCCAACCTGCCAACAGAGGCAGGAGACTGTCTGAGCTTGCCATAGCCCCACCTCATTCACGTTAGCTGTTCAGTTCTGTGCAAGCCATTGCTGCAGAGTGGAGTTACCACTGCTGAGTTCAAAAACAAGATCACTGCTCACCACTGAGAGTCTTATGAAGGATGACCAGGGTGAAGGCTGGACTCTTCTTCACAGACTACAGGCAGTGAGTTTTAAGACTAAGTTCTGGGCAATCACTTTGCTCAGCTGCTCCCTGTCACTGACTCTCCTGCACAACCACTGTGGTTGTTTCAGAGTCTAACATCATAGAGCTGGTGACAGGAATTGTTACAGGTGAAATGCCTGGCCATACGGTGAGTCGGAGGGTACCTGATATACAACAGAGAGAGTCTGCACTCTTCATCGGAGAAGATTTGCTTTCTGCTCTTGGCTGGGCCATAGACTTCAAGGAGAACCAAAACGAGAGGGTAGGTACGGTGAGTCGGAGGGTACCTGATATACAACAGAGAGAGTCTGCACTCTTCATCGGAGATTTGCTTTCTGCTCTTGGCTGGGCCATAGACTTCAAGGAGAACCAAAACGAGAGGGTAGGTCTCCCCTTAGGAGACCTCATAAGCACCTTCCATGCAAAATGGGTGCCCTGAAGAGTGGGGAGAAGTGGATACATTTCCCTGCGCAGTGTGCTACCCTGGAGCTGCAATGCTAAGAGCCTGGGAGAGGCAGGTACAAGCTCCTTGATTTAACTCGAGGCAGATGGCCCACAAGTAGACCCTTCCTCACCTCAAGCACTCAGGGGTATCACAAATGGTTCTCTCCTTGCCTCTGAGGAACCAGTCACGTGGAGGGTAATTTAGGAATGTAGCCATAGACCCCAACATCACCAAGCTACGTAATCCAGAATTTAGCCCTGCTGTAAATATTCAGTTCTTTGAGCCCCCGCTCAAATGTCATGCCCATGAGCCCTTAATCATGGCTAGTGCCTGTCTCTGGACCCCGTCCAAACTGTCAATGTCTTTCTTGTGCCTGGATCCAGATTTGGCACATGGCGTATTCCAAATGGAGCTGAATCTGACCTACAGGGAGGGGACATCATCTGTCTCAGCCCAAGACATTAAATTTTGGCACTCACTGCTCAGCACGCTGCTGCCTTTTTTTTAACCCCAGGGCATATGGTCAGCTCCAGACTCGTTGGGTCTGTGGCATTCCACACAAGATCGCATTTCAAGGGTGTGAGTTCCCTAAACATTTACTTCCTGGAGATGTGCTACAAATATTAATAAGTTAACATTCATAAAATGCTTTTAAAATGAGAGACACATTTACCAAACGGGATGTTTCTGCCCTTCCAGGAACCCTGGTACCCAATCAATATATTGCCCCATGCAGGGCTGTTAATATTTATTTTCCGACACCATTGCTCCAGTATTTGATTCCTTGACATACCACCAACTCCAAATTTTATGAGCTGTGGCATTTTCCAAATAGATGCTCTTGGAAGCCACCAATAGTAGGACTGTTTGACACTTTTGCAGGGGATATCCTACCATTAATTAGTGGTTGCTTAATAGCAAACTAAGAGACTAAAACAGTAACTCTATAAACATCGGGGAATAAAGGCACAACATTTGGGGGTTTATTTAACCACTCTGTTTCCATACCAAGCTTCAGTGTAAACCTAAAGAAACTACCTTCCAACAAAAATGTAAGGTGTGCCCTTCTTCAACGTGTTTTTCTAAATTCCTGAGATTTTCAGTGCTACAATTATTTTGCCAGTCAAGTCAAATGCATGTACCCCGTCTTTGCTTTCACAGTTGAGGGAATGTAAATACTCAATAAACATATGAAAGATGCTTAACCTCATTAACCGTCAGGGAAATGCAAATTAAAACAATAATGAGACACTGTTATTCACCAGCTGATTAACAAAAATTAGAAAGATCAATATCATTCACTACTTTGTGAGTGTGTAGGGAAATAGAGACTCAAATTGAAAAAGGGAACATAAATTGAGAAAAACCTTCTTGTAAAATAATTCAGGAGTACCTATTACAATTAGCAACACATTTTTTTTTTGACTCAGTTAATTCCACCTTCAGAGATCTAACCCACAGAAAACAGCATGATTACTCCAAGGCACAAGAACAAAACTTGCTGTAAGCACTATTTGTAACAGCAAAAAACTGCAATCCATCAAGAAGAGAGTTATTAAGAATGCATAGTTCATCCTATATGAACTAATGTCTACTTCACTAAATAGTATATAATCATAAAAAGAATAAGGTATTCTTACATTCAGACCTAGTAAGATATCATTATAAATGGGGGGAAAAAAAGTAGGTTGGATACAAATAAGTATACTTATGATTCCATTTTATAAAAAATACAAATACACAGGTACAATCCTCTAGATGCATATGGGGCTGAAGCTATAAGCATGGCTATACACAGCTAAAATCAGAACACAGCCCAAGTCAGAAAGAAAATGTACCACAGTGTTCAACGATGTACTTTATATAATCAAGTGCTGGGAGTGTAAGTGTTCACGTTTTATCATTTTCACCTTCAAACCTGAACAGAAATCTCTCAAAGACACAGCAAAAAAGTAAAATGAAACAGCTCCTCGGACATCTATTCTGTAACCGCTACAGAATCAAAGCATCTGTAACCCTCTGGCAGACCCAACAAAAGCCAGGAAGGAGAGAAGTCCTGCACCAACCCGTGTGTGCACAATTCTTTATTTTCTTTCCTGCCCATGGCCAGATCTTTGTGGAATTCATCATGATTTTTCATCTAACAGAACTAGAGAGCATGGGGTTTCAAAACTATGTTCACTAAAGACTTTTTAAAACAACTCTTTGTGGAATTCATCATGATTTTTCATCCGCCAACTAACAGAACTAGAGAGCATGGGGTTTCAAAACTATGTTCACTAAAGACTTTTTAAAACAACATTTCAATATCAAAACAAAGCAGTTTGAAGCTAATGGCCTCAACTCTGGGTGTTGTACAAAAAGAGAATTCCACAAACATTCCACACTTTGTCAATACAAAGACAAAAGGTGGCCAGGACAGGTTTTCTCAGAATTCTTCTGTTACCTAAATCTCCCAAGTTATCCCTCTTCAGTCCCCAGCTACCTTCAGGTGACAACTGGGAATGCTGATTTGCTTGTATGACACTAAAACACCTAGGTGAAAGGTGAAAGGCTCAGGCTATCACCAGGATGTTTGACTTCCACATGGCAAAAAAAATCCAGACATTTCCAAATACCCAGGTGTTTGTTAACAAGCAGAATAAACATCCAGAAGCTGGATGGGAAGTTCTGCTCTGTGCCAGGTCAAACGCCGTGTCCATGTGATGATGAATACTACCAAGACTTCTTTCCACCAACATCAGGACTCAACTTCCTAGGAAGACAGCAATCCTGGCCTTCAGGAAGGCACTCCATGAACTACTCCAGTCCAACACACACAACAGTCGTGATTAAGATACATAGAATCTTACCATCCCATCCTCGACTC